TACCAGCTGCAACTGCTGCCAAGATTTTTCAGATTTTTCTTCAGTCTGAATCTGACCATTGGTCCATCCAGCTATCAGTAGCCTTACTCAGGTCTTGCAAATGCAGGGCTGTGGCTTCTTCGATTGAGTCTATCCATCTGCAATGCCATTTTCTTCTTTTCCTACTGGCCTCTACCTTGACAACCATTACTGATACTGTCTTATCTAGCAAGTCATGTCTTCTCATGATATGTCCAGTCAACTTAGTCATCTTAGCTTCAAGCAAGGCTTGATTTGCTCTAGGACTCGTTTATATGTCTTTTTGGCAGTCCAGGGTATCTGCAGATCTCTTCTCCAGCACCACATTTCACAAAGTGAATCTTTTGACCAACACCCCCTTGCCCAGGTATGGAAATGCTCTGGATGGGTGCATGTACATTGATGAAATAATGAAGTTTGACACCACTTGAAGTGCTGCAGCTCCAACTTATGAAATTCTGGAATTTGTATTTTTGCAAAATCTTTAGCCTTCTCTGCCAAAGACTTCCAATGCCTCACAAAACGACTTATCCCAGGATTCTGTTGGATGGAGCCACTGCAGTTAAAGTGGTGTCAAACTGCATTATTCCTACAGTGTAGATGCACTGGATTCTATAGGATGGAGCCATGGCAATTAAAGTGGTGTCAAACTGCATTATTCCTACAGTGTAGATGCACTGGATCCTGTAGGATGGAGCCATGGCAATTAAAGTGGTGTCAAACTGCATTATTCCTACAGTGTAGATGCACTGGATCCTGTAGGATGGAGCCATGGCAGTTAAAGTGGTGTCAAACTGCATTATTTCTACAATGTAGATGCACTGGATTATGTAGGATGGAGCCATGGCAATTCAAGTGGTATCAAACTGCATTATTCCTACAGTGTAGATGCACTAGATTCGATGGAGCCATGGCAGTTAAAGTGGTGTCAAACTGCATTATTCCTACAGTGTAGATGCACTGGATTCTGTAGGATGGAGCCATGGCAGTTAAAGTGGTGTCAAACTGCATCGTTTCTACAGTGTGGATGCACCTGAAGAAGAGATTCCATGCTTCCCTAGACTCTGAGCTGTTAGACCAAAGAGATCTTTCTTTGTTTCCAAGCCAAGCTCAGCAAGTGTTAACTCAGGAAAAGGAAAAGTAGGGAGGGGTGGGTTGGGGTGGGGGGTTAGCTTGCAAACTGGATTCTTTATTGGGGGCCAGAGGGGGCAATGCCAGGGAGAAACTCTTGTCCTCCTATTCAGGCCGCATTTTCCCATCAGCTGCCACCTGTTACTCACTGGGGCGTCCCAAGAGGAATCCATTCAGGGTCTGAATAGAGGACATTAGCATGAGAAGAATAGAGGGATCTAACCCAGCCTCAATGGAGGGAAAGGCTGCTCAATAAACACTAGCTGAGTAAGTCCCCCTTCTCCCCTCCCTCTGCTCCAAAAAAGTTAATCAGCAAATTCCCTGGGAACCCCGCCATCAGGCCAAGCAGCCTCCAAAATAAAGGATATTTCTCCAAAAAGGCCCACTCACCTGTCCTTTTCTTCAGCTCTTCGTCCTCGCCGTCCGTGAAGATAAATGTCTAAAGAAAGCAAAAACGAGAAAGATTTTTTTAAAAAACCATCAGAAGAAATATTAGTGCCTCTTCCAAAACTCTCTAGTTACTTCTGCGAGCATAAAAATAGAAGACATAAAGGAATACAGTAGTAGCACCTTTGAGATTAGCCGAGAAAAATAATAGTATTTCTAACACAATAAAGAGTGCATCCAGACTGATTAAAAAGACAAGAAAGTCCCCGATTTTGTTCTCGTCCCCTTTGGAAATATTCCCATTTTCTTTATCCCAGAATATTCTCTGTCGGCTCCCGCGATGATCAGAGACTTTTTATATATCAGCTTCCCAGGGCAGTTTATTTTATCCTAGTATGAAATCGGAAAGAAGAGGAACAAAATCTGGGACTTTATTCTCCGTTCAGATGTGCCCTAACAAGGTGATCATTTTGAATCATTCTGCAAATCGATTTGCTTAATGGAAAGTCAAGGCTATACATCTCGATTCGGTTAGTCCACAAACATAAATGCATCCTTTTTACTAACAAGAGATTATAAAATAGGAGGAAAAAAAGAGTTTCTTTTTTGGCACTTTGCTTGAAGAAGGAATGGCATGCCCAATGTTGGACTCATTCTGGCACTAAGTTAAAATTTCATGAAAGCCTTGAGACCCAGAAACCATACCCAATATATATGTTGTTGTTGTTATTGTTGTTGTTGTGTGACTTCAAGTCACTTCCAACATATGGCGACCCTAAGGCAAACCTATATAATGGGGTTTTCTTAGCAAACTTCTTCAGAGGGGGTTTGCCTTTGCCATCCTCTGAGGCTGAGAGAGCATGACTTGGCCAAGGTCACCCAGTGGGTTTACATGGCTGAGCCAGGATTCAAACCCTGGTCTCCAGAGTCATAATCCAACACTCAAGCCACTACATCATGCTATAGATACACAGTTTTGTCATTATTATTATTATTATTATTATTATTATTATTATTATTATTATTTAAAAACTGCACTGTTTAATGTGTCTTTGGAACGTCTAGGTTATCCGTATTCTTTAAGATCTTGGTCGCCTTACATTTCAACTGGGTCCACATGATTTTATTGTAAGCCACCCAGAGATCAGTCTATGTGGGGCGTTGTTGTTGTGTGCCTTCAAGTCATTTCTGACTCATGGCAATCCGTATCCCCTATATCATGGGGTTTTCTTGGCACGATTTCTTCTGAGGTTTGCCATGGCTTTCCCCTGAGGCTGAGAGCGTGTGACTTGCCCACGGTCACCCAGTGGATTTCCATGGCCGAGCTGGGATTCAAACCCTAGTCTCCAGCATTGTAGTCCAACACTCAAACCACCAGGGAGACAACAATAAAATTGGGGTAGGTTGGCCAACATCTTCCAACCTTCTGCTGCCACCAACCACTCTGGACCTAAGTGAATGAGTTGCTGCTAAACTCAGGTGGCTCAGCTCCGGCTTGATCCATGCAGGTCCCCCAAGTTGCCAAGAAAGGCTTGTTCCAACCTGTTCCTTGCACATGTTCCTCTCCAGCAGCATCAGCAGCAACAACAACAACAACACAACCCCCCATTCTGTGTCTGATTCACCTCCAACCGCCACCTGAACCTGGGCCAAGAGAGCAAGCAAGCCCTGCCTTACCTTCGGATCCCTGCCACCTGCCTGGCTGCACTTTCTTATTGACACAGGTAATGCCTGGCATCTGCTGCCTCTCTCTCTTTCTCCCCGCAGCTTATTTTTGGGAGGGATGGAGGATGAGAAAAAGAGGCAAGCAATGGGGAAGGAGCTCCAATGGACAATGCAGTCAACAAAGACAGAAAGTGGAGGGGGGAAAGGTTAGGGAAGGAAGGCTCTTTCTTGCAAGGCAGCTGCCCCAAACTTTTCTTAAAAAGGAAGAGGATTTGAAATCTGGAAGCCCCTTCCCCATCACTGTGTCTGGATAGTCTATTATTATTATTATTATTATTCCTCCACCTCCTTTAAAGCGTGTAAAGGACTGAGGGAGAGTAGGCTCTAACAATAGATTCCTGCCGCCAACTTAATGCAAGAGAAAGAAACCGAACTTGTGTTTGCTTTCCATTAGCATACAGCTGGGCTGGTTAACCGGGCTGAACAGGGAGAGGAACATCTATAAAACAACTTGGTTTAATCGCTGGAGTGGAAACGTATAAAGCGAGGGAAGGCAGAGGAGCCGGATTTCGATTTGGACAGTCCCAATTGATCCTCTGTCATCCCACTTTTTCAGCTGCTTTTTAAAATGTCCCAGTTTCTCCCTCCTCCTCCCACTTTCTTCCTTCGCCTTTGTTCAGTTGGTGCAAAATTGAGTTCAAAGTGCAAAAGGAATCTGGACTCAGATTAACTCAGCCGGAAGGAGAGGAGGACTCTTGCCCTTCCCTGTAGACTGAGGCAAAAGCAAACTGCTGCAGGCTCTCTGCTTC